CTATAGATGCTCTTATCTAAACCGTTTATCTCAATTTCGTGTTTTTACAATATAGCACATCTAATTCACTCTGCTCAATTCCTGACTCGATTTCATTCATTAATCAGTGGGGAAAATTAGGGTTGCGTTCAGACAACAACGCAATAAATGTGTCATTGTCATTTCCCCTTCACAACTTAGGGATAGACGTTCTAAAAGACTCATATCTACTACCACTGTGGATATTGGTGGTCATATCGTTACCTCATGTGCTTGTTTCCTATCTACAACTGCAGAGGTCAAACAATTGCAAACTCAACATTATTTCTCTACAGGAGATGCTAATTCCGTGTTAGAGTTGAGGATTAGTGTTTCAAGCATCCCTAACTGCTTCCATTGATACATTAATTGTTCAAAATGTCCCAGTTCTACAGACATTTTAGAATATCATTGACATGTTTCCCCAGCTATTTAACAGACTGTCTTCCTGAAACCGTGACGTTTGCCGCTTGCGAGTTAGATTAATTGAAACAACACTTGTTCCTTTGTCATTTGTAACTGCGCCTGTAGTTACAAGGCCTAAATACCCTTTAGTAAGTGTCTTATGGTATTATATGAAAAAGACTCAGACTATTGTATTTGCTACCTATTGGGGTTTACAGTAGGGAGTCAAAAATTACAAAAAATGAGTATTTCAGCGCGATATACGTCCAAGACTATAACTGCCACTTCTAATTTTTCTAAGTCTTGCATGAGAACGGAGAACTCTTCTAAAACTTCTGCGCCTTCTATGATTTAGTGACTGGATGTAGCGTGTACAAGCGCAAAACGACATAGATTTCACCTGACGGACACACTGAAAATCAGATAGACTTCATCTCAATCTGAAGAAAATGGAATCTCAGTCTGATAAACACAAAGTCGGTAAGAGAACAGATGTGGGCTCAGACCATCATTTAGTACATGGAGCCCTTGGCGTCAAGTTCAAAGCCTTAAAAAACAACCAGAGATAGACCACAATGCATATTTAACACTCAGAGACTGAAGGATGAAATTGCAAAGGCACATTCACTGAAACTATCATAACAAAGTAGGGGACACTACGTAGCATCACTGAGGAAACCTGTATGGAAGAACATTGGAACTCTGAAAGTAATGTTCAAGGAAAAATGTAGAGCCGTTTTAGGGAGAAAGAAGAAACTGAACAAGGAATGGCTCTCTACGGACACATGGAAACCAATACAAATGGAAGGGACAATGAAACAAGATGAATCAATGCAAGGATGGACAACAGGAGGAGAAGTTGAGTTCAATGTACAACTCAGCGAATAAAGAAATGAAGAAGAGTGCAAAAAAGACAATTCTTTGACACACTGGAAACTGAAACAGGATGTACCACAGGTAAGACAGATCTCATACGCCACCAGATAAACAAATGGTTATTGGGGGAGAGATTTATACGGACAAAACTAGTGAAAGATAGTGAAGGGAATCTGATTATCAAACAGGAGAAGCAAAGAAAACAACGTTCTTATTACTGCAGAGGACTTCCGAACCGACTAGCACCTGGAATTCGTTCAGAAATACTTTTGATAGCCTCAAGACTGTCAGTGTACAACCTCCCCTGACGAAAGCAGAATTTTCGAACGCCATAAAGATTCTGAGAGTGGGAAGAGCAGCTACACTAGACGGAATTTACCCGGAAGCACCGATTGTGAATCCAGAGACCTCAGTGGATATACCCACGCTTCTATTACAGGAAATTTAGAAGGTAGTTGCTGGTTGGAAGAAAGTTGATGTCAAACTACCAAAGAATGGTGGTTTAAGCCTTTGCAAACACTAGCTGAAAATTATGCTTTTGTTCACTCCGAGCAATATTTATTTATTTATTTTTATTTTTGATTTACAGCTTGATTCCATACTGTATTTTTGGTACAAGTATGGAATTTTCAGCGTGGATATCGGTAGCCCAAATTTTGCAGGCCGACCATAGATATCAGGTATGCTCCGGCTTGGGCTCGGACCTCGAACCATGTGCATGGTCGGCGAGAGTCCTAACCACTGTGCCACCGACGCACTGAGTCGCATCATTCTGAAGAGATTAATAGTTGTACTGGATAGGTAACTCCAACCTGACCAAGCTGGAATCAGGAAAAACAAATCGTGTGCGGATCAAATATCAACCTACGCATCATCAACAAACAGAGCAAAGAATGGAAGTTAAATCCCCACTTCAACTCCACTGGTTTTGGAAAAGCCTTCGACAGCGTCGACCGCGAAGTAATTTGGAAACTGCTTCAACAATATAGAGTGACCCAAATATTTATCCACCTCCTTTAACAGTTGTGTGATTATGCTGTGTCAACTGATTTTTGCAACGTAAAGATCAGCGAAACCTTCGAAGTGAAGACAGGAGTAAGGTGAAGCTGACTGTTATCACCAATGGTATTCCTAAATATGGTGGACTGGATTTGCGGGACGTCGTGAGTGGGAGACGGGAATATGTTGGACTGAGGACAGGAGTGTAGGAGATCTGGACTTCGCGGATAATTTATTTCTAATGTCAAAGAAATTCAAAGACTTACGGGCAAAACCCAGCAAGTTGGCCAAAAAGGCAGGACTTCAAGTGAACGTAAAGAAGACGGAGTTGATGAAGATAACCAACCAACAACAAGTATGAACCACTATCATAAGAAAAAGTCTGAAGGGGCTCACTTCCCTTACTTATCGAGGCAGCATCGTTTCAACTACAGGGTCACGGATGAGGATGCCAAAACCAGAATCGGAAAGGCCAGCTATACATTCATCACTTTGAAATCGGTTTGGAAATCTACTGACTGCACTTAGCATAGGGAACAAGATACTGATTTTCAACACAAATGTGAAGTTAGTTCTTCCGTATGGGTCAGAAACTTGCACTGAATGTCACGAAAAGGATTTCCAACAGGTTGCAGACTCTTATCAACAGCTGACTTCAATCCATATTGAAGATCAGACTGCCAGTAAGAATTATCCACAAGAAACTGTGGGAACGAACCGACTATGGATTTGTTGCTCGACGAATATTCCGAAGAGAATGGAGATGGGTCAGGCTTACGCTGAGGAGGTCGTTGGGTCACATTGTAATGACGGAAGACAAGGGCCAGCCAGCAGAACGTTTATTGAGAAAGTCAACAGATATTTATAGATTTTTAGGTACATTATTATTCGTTATTGCTAGGAGAGAAGCACCGTCTTCTTATTTGTTGCTTTTCTGTTGAAAGTTATTCAGTCATCTCTTTGTCGCCGTTTCTTACACAGTCCGTTGATATATCTGCACATCGTATCCGCCCACGCTAAGTCCTATGTGATTGGTTGTTGAGTTCCTCAAGGTTAGTCTTTGTTCTTGTTTTTTCTCGTGAAGAAGATTTGGGACGTAAACATTGACGTAAATTCCTGTCTACCAATTTTGGATAGCGAACAGCTCTCACCACAACATCACGCACCAGGCCGTCGTGTGGAACCCGAATAAGAGACGATGCGTTGGGCGTACGTGGCTGCAACGGAGGAGATCGTGCGAAGGAGAGATGACAGACTATGGGCAGTCCTAGGGCCAGCTAAAGAGGACCGCAGAGAACAGGACAAAGTAGAGATGTGGTGTTGAAGCTCTATGTCCAACTCGGAACCCAAGGGAATAATAATACGTTTTGTTCTCTAATAATGCTTCTGGAAAAATATGCTTTACATGTTTAAAATTGTTTCCATATGGAGAAAATCAATTAGACATTTAGAAGACAAGAGGATTGAGCGAATTTCAAGTAGAGTAGAGCTACGGACGAGAATTTAAATGAAAAGCAAATATTTCTTCCCTCAACCCTTTTGTCTTTTAAAATTGTGTATTTATAGGGATTCTCGTGAATATAGGCTTCTAGTGACCAGTGTTTAGTTGTGAAATAAAACAATTTAATTTAATCTTGGGAATCCTTGTTTAGTAACAGTCATATCAAATCATACAAATTAGTCTACTAAAGTCTATGAAACATAATTGTAAACTGGAGTTATTGTTTATTGTCGTATTTGAACAACGAAAACAACACCTCATTACACCTATTTTTCGAAAGGTGAGAAATGATGCACTAGTTGAACGATAAGATCAAAAATATTCCAACACACGGGGTAAATATTTCTAGCACTTATATCATGTTCGTTGTGATACTGACGAGTAGGAATTGAAACTTCATGATTTACTCACAGCATAGTGGAAAAAGCGGTATAATGCAGCTTCATATATATATATATATATATATATATATATATATAATTATTAACTTCGCGGAAATCCACATTTTCTCTATACACTGAAACTCACTTGTAATTAAAACCCGTTTTATGTGTAAGTGATAAGATGAACCAAGAGAAATTGCTGTTTTGACGAAATTAGGATTATGTATCTTGGACACTGTATTACCATATGGTTTATCAAATAAACATTTCCAAAATGAAATAGCATTTCTTAACTCAAGATCTTTCTTCTCAGTTTTGATTGGAAATATGGTGCCGAAATAAGAAGGCAGTGTACGAAGTGGATAAACTGTCACACCTCTTTAAGGTACATAGTACTTGATTTAAAACCATTCGTAAATGAAGTGGCATATGAATCAGTAACTTATAGTCTATTAGTGAAGATTTGGCTGAAATATTTCCCGATGCTTGAATACCATAAGTAAATATCGCTTGAGCATAATCATAAAGCATAAAAAGTAGATCGTCTGAAAGAGTGGATTTCTTTCCGCGAAGACTTATTGAGTTTACGGTTATTTTATCAATGGAAATGTATTCAGAGTAATCTTTTAATCATCCAGAACTTCAAGAAAAATCTAGAAGAGTACATGCACACAGAGTTTTCCAAAACAAATTTTAATTAAAATGACATTCTGCTTTGATATTTCCACGACTGTGCATTATCGAAGTGGTGAAAGTAAGACAGATATGATGTTAGTGTGAAGAATAAATGCCACTTATGTTTGTCTCAGTCTTCAATGTTATTCATTAAATTTTAGCTGCATTCGATGATGACAAGGTTTGCACACATTCAACACTACTAGACGAAATGTTCTAAAGAATTTAAAATATATAAAGAAGTCGAATACTTCACGTGTAAAGTGGAAATTCCAAAATATATCAGCTATGTGAAATGCAAATTTTGAACTGTTTACTGATATGCTAAGTCTACCAGTTATGTAAGCGACTGTTTGTGGTAATGATGTCACTGTATAAGAAGCAGAATAAACTAAAAAAAATATACTGGTCTGTATCTGTTTGCGATCAGCTGCATTCAATCTTTTCATTGTTGTCTCTTTCAAACGCTTACAAATAAGTCTAAGGAAAGCACAGTTTAAAGCAACTAGGATCAAACTTTGCACAAAACCTAAATTAGAAAATAATGCTTGGTATAACTGTATAGCATGATTATTTGGATCCATAGAACACTGTAATTTTGATTCGACAAAATAAATATCAGTTGTAAAAAATAACGGTAACATCATTATGAAGCTTAATAAATGTGCTAAACCACATGCACACCAAGCATAGTATTTAGGCAACTTATTAAATTGTGTTGGGAAGTAAATTGAGAAGAAACGATCCAATGCAGCACAAACTAACAGATTGCACGAACACGTCGATGTGAATGAGCTGAGGAATCGATGTGATTGACAGGCTATTGGTGAAACATTATATACAATATAATATCTTTTACCATTTGTTATATATGGCACACCTTTAGCTGGAAACAACCACAACCAGCCGAAGATAATATTTGTTAGCATACTCATTATAGCAACAAACGCCATGTAGATCATGTAGCGTGGCATCAGTTTAATTTTCATAAATATTGTTATTGATATGAATGTATTTATTATTAAGCCTAATCCACATGCTATTGGCAGGATATAACCACTCCATGCGCCTAGAAAACTTGATATAATACAATGAACTCTATCATAATTACTTGATTCTGTTGAATTAATATTTCTTGGTGGTATGCATGCTTTGAATGTATCCCAGGGTGAATTTCTATATGGCCACTTTTCATATAGTACATGTACTTCCATCTTATAGATTCATGTGTTCATGTAAGCTATACATTGCACATGCATTTATTTATATGTATAATATATTTATTGATTTTTGAGCATTCAACCACTAGATTAGTATGACTATTTGTAACAGTAGCGTTCTTTTTCTTGTTAGTATTATTAGAAGTAGTAGTAGCGGGTGTGGAAGTACATTCAATGACACTCATTTGTGAAGAAACCTGTTTGTGATTGACTTTGACAATAATGATGGTGAGGCATCTGACATAAGGACTCGAATACCCTTGAATTGAAATAAATGAAGTAATCAGAGTACTTTGTCGCAGGTATTTATAGGTTTCTCCTTATATCTCTGTATGTATGCATTTACAAAAGATATCCATACAGACAGGTAGAACTAAGTAGTGCAACTGTTGAGTAGATAGGTAGATTGACAGAAAGTTAAATGCACAAGTGTTAGTAGAACAATTAGTAGAAATAAACGAAACCACGGTAACTAGATAAATTAAAAAATAAACTAAATAAAACGCATTAATCAGAATATATCGTCCATCATATTTTCGGTATGATTGTTACTATAGCAATTGAATGTATGATTTCTTGTATTATTTGTATGCTGTTAGCTTACTAACCTTATTCACGACAGTGCCTAAAATCAGAACAACCATTTATATATCAACAAAATAGAAACACATTTTTATTGGCAGTAATGTCTAACGGCACTTGGTATATGGCTAGGCTACTAAAATACATTGTATTCAAACCCTGTTTCAGTTATGATCCTACCTATTTGAACGGTCTAGTAACACGAAGGTAAAGTAAATTCTCATGTTAAAAGTTTTTGGCACAGACACTATTCTATTGTGTTAACAGATACAGATTCATTCAGTACTGTTCAGATAACTCTCATGATACGTTAGTGTTATTACTTCATGAATAATACCTTATTTTTTATTAATGTTATAAATTATTTTTATGACTACTGTAATTAGAAGCTAGTGAAAATCCCCCTTGTACTTCATTGTGCTTGCACATGAAGTCTACTTAGTTCTTCCAGATACCTAATCTATATGGATCAGGTAATTGCGAATCGGTAGAGTGGAAATCTAATCATCCTTCAATGTGTGGAAACCTCCACCCACCCATTCTCTTCAATACTGATGGGTGTGTTCAACTCGGAACAGAAAATCACTATCTCACATTTTGTACTCAAACAGTGAGTATACTGTTGGGTAGTGAGATCACACATTGTCTTATTAGTCTTTGGCTATCACTGTGGGCCTGATTGATGCACAGACACTGTTCAATAGGTATTTAGTGCTTACAGGGTTGCCGTTTAGTTACTTATATTCTTTGCAATCAAAGAGCAGATTTTAAGTTACAGACGATAAGCTGGGAGGCAGGATATTCTTTCGATTGTTTCCTTTCTTCTGAATTCTACCCACTTTATTCCCTAAACTTACTTCGTTCAGTTTTTCGTAAGAAGATAAGGACGGAATTAATAATAGTATATTAATTAATAGCATACTTGATGCAGAGATTCATTCTCTAATATCCTTACTAATGATAGCAGTCAAGTCGCCTCCGTAAAAGCAGAATCACAACTCGAAAGTGGTAGAGTATTTCTTTCCACAAAGCAGTAAGATTTGAAAAATTGTCAGAGAAAGGAAGACTGAGATTTCTTTATACTGTTTTCTTGAGGTATAACAGCACACTAGATAATTATTTAAATGCAAATATTTGTTCATTCGTTCCCATATCTGAATTTTATTTTTTACAGTCGTGAGATGGTTATTCAGGAACTTAGCTAGTTGAAAACTGTTTAGTGTAAATGTTCTGTCAGTCAGGTGAACAAATACGCAATCAAACTGATTTTCATAAACCCAAAAACATATCAGTGCATCGCGTTTATGTAAACGTGGAAGTGTATCCTGTCGACCAGTGGTTTACTGCATTGTGGGCTACTTACGAATACATACAAGCAGTATATCGAGTGACATCTTCGGATATTTTGTGTGTGAATGAAGCAAAGACGTGAGAAGGGGACAAAAGTGAAAAGAATTCAACAAGAAATATACAAGGAAGGCATTCTCATCATTTACAGATAATGAGGTCAATGAAAAGTCTATCATTTTTTTCAAGGTAGATTCTATTTTAGAACAACACATTTAAGCGAAGAATATTGTTGTTTTCAATTAGATCTCATCAGGCTTAACTATAATATACACAACTTTAAAAATAAAAATTCAAATATAAACCAATCATGGTGTTTCGTCTATAGGATAATAAGCTGGTGAATATAAATTGTGCAATAAGTCGTAATAGTAGTAATGATAATAATAATAATGGTTTTATCAATAATAAGGATGAAAAAGTGAAGCAATCTGTGATAACACGAGTAATGAAAAACAGCATGATTGAACAAACAAATGTTCAGGTAGAAGTAGTCGATAAAGGCTAAGAAAAACAAATGAACCGATTAAGTAATGCTAGATTGTAAGGAAAGTAAATGAAACACCTTTTTAATGATGTGGTAAGATTAAGAGATGATAAAAGAGGGGTTGAAAGTATAAGTAAGGGGTGGTGGAGAAGTCGTCAGTTGGTTATGTCTTAATAGGCTAAAGGAGGGATAATGGCTGTACGAACTTCCTTTGAATGCCTAGTTTAGGTTTAATAATTCAAATGCCTATTATCTCAGCTGTGTGCAGTAGACGAATACGAAGTCTATTGGAAAGATTCGGTGGGATACTATGAATTACTTTGAAAGCTCTCATTTTCTCCACTACATGACCACTATCAACTAAATGTAACCTCTTTGTCTTACCTTGATATATATATCTTACGAATTTTTCAAGCTGATCATTTTAGTTTACCTGAATCAGTCAACAATGTTGGTCCGCTTTGTGTACTAACAACTTGATCAAATTTAATTTTTCAGGACTGTTAAACTCCTGAATCCCCAATCACTAAATGAATGCTACAACTGTTTAGCTTTTCGAAAGAGCTTGACAAGAGTGATAACAGCCATCTGGCTTTGGAATCAGTTAGCCAGGTGTTAACGGAACGAAGTGAATCCATCTTACCTAACCCGTATCTCTCTCTTCTTACTTATCTATATCAGTGGTTACGGAGCTTTCCTATGGAAATCTAGGAAATTATTGTGATAAATTTTTCGGAAAAGGATGCATCTTTGGATAACAATTTCGAAGAAAAACTCTTAATTTGCAGACTCACGTTTCATGAAAACAGACAGAACTGAAGTACGAAACTGGAATAACTGAATGAATGAAGCTGCTGCTTTCTCAACAAGATAAAATGTCTACAACCAAGAGCAGAAACTCAAAGTAGATAATTTAGCAGTTATTTTATTGAACAGGTTGTCTAGTTTTGAGTTTTCGTCAAAATCTCCACACCTGCTAAGCAGGCATAAATGTTACTACTAAATAGTTTCCTATGACAATTTAACACATTGTATATGGATATGCTAGTTTATTGATGACCCATTGATTGGTTGTTTAGATGGGACCAAGCACATGAGTCAGGAGATGCCACAGCTAGTTCACGAGGATTAGCTGGCGTAGGGATAGCTTTGAGTACTAGGGCAGAAAAGACATTGCTTGACTGGATCCCGGTAGATAGCCGAATGTGTGCTGTCCGCCTGAACGGATCAGTAAGAAGGAGGAAGGACTGCACTACTCGCCGATGCCTTTTCGTAATCTCCGCCTACGCCCCCACTGACTGCAGTTCAGATGAAACGAAGGATGAGTTCTACCAAAAGCTGTCTAGTTTGGTGCGAAAGGCTAAACGCTCAGACATAGTCGTTCTAGCTGGTGACTTTAACGCTCAAGTAGGGAAATTGTGTCAATCTGAGAAGGATGTCGGTGGCACCTATGGAGCTCCGTGCCAGCGAACCGACAACGGTGACCGTCTCCTACAGTTCTGCTCTGATAATCATTTGTTTCTTGTAAGCACTAACTTTAAACACAAGGAGAGACACTGTTTGACTTGGAGACCCCCTTCATCAAACCAACGCTGGACACAAATAGACCACATAGCAATAAGCTATCGTTGGCGTGGGTCGGTAGGAGATTGTCGCTCCTTCTGGAACACGTGCGTAGATACCGACCATGCACTGGTCCGCGCTCGGGTGTGCTTACGACTGAACGGACGTAGGAAACAGCTGGCGGTAAAACCATCACGTCCCCAGCTCGATCAGGAAACTAAATCCGTATTTCAGGAAGAACTAGCTAAACACATATCTGTGTTCGACAGCTGTGCTCACCCTGAAGAAGCTTGGAAAAATATCCAGGCAGCCATAGATACAGCTGTAAAAGCTGTGAATAAGGTAAACCCAAAGGTGAGTAAAAACCACTGGATCTCCACCGCCTCATCCGAACTGATAGATGCTAGAAGACTTATTCCGGCGAGCTCCGAATTCAATGAGGAGC